ATTTGGGATATCATACAGGAATCAACGAATAAATTTAAATGGACCGACAGCGTTCAATACAAAAATTGTTTGTATAAAAAAATATTATTTATTTTTATACAATACTTTTGAGTAAACAAGAGTTGACAGATATATTATGTGTACCACAATCGTTACAGTCTTAAAGTATATGGTTATATGTACGACAGACGACAGCAGCTATAAAACGTTGTGTATCTCTAATATTTTTGTTATTATTTATACAGAACACAAAATATACAAATTTAGCAAAAATTAAATAAAATAACAATACACAACTTAAAGCTTTTTTAACAAGATTTAAAATGATCTCTAATTGAAGTCTCTATCTTAAAAATTAAAAAAAGTTACAACGGTTAATAAACAATATTTTGAGTTGCAATCGATCTCGTGTTAATCAAACGAAAACAGAAACTATCAAAGAGAGAAAAAAAATTGAAAAAAAATCTTTTATGAAAACAGTTAACAAGAACAAGAACAAAAATTACAGTGAGTGGGATACAAAAAAAAATTACTATAAATAGGTCTATATATCTATTATATTAGGTATATTATCTTACTTTACTGATGAGCTGGTAAAATAAACTGATCAAGCGATACTATTTCGAAATACGTACCTATTTATACTTATAACTGTTAGAAGAATTATTATTAATTTAGTAAAATGTGGGTACGTCTCCTTGGACGAATACAACACAAAAGTGATATGACACCCTCGTTATGGACACAATATGTAGCTATATTAAAACAAAATATCATTCAGACTATTATACAGTATATTTTGAAAACGCATACTCAATAGTTATTTTTTGAATACTTAAATTAAAAAAAAATACATCAATGAAACACACCATAATCATACAAGAGCCATTAAGAATCGTTGACTAAATGTGATGAATTGTAAATTACTTTCAAATTTATAATATCAATAAGAAATTACCTAATAAATAATAACCATTAAGTAATACTGACTAGTTTTGTAGTAGTGTGAGTTTTTTCTACAGGTGCCAGGCTGCTTGGAATGTATATAGCTGTCATAACCATATTATATTATATTTCTATACCTACTATCATACGATTTAGAGAAAAGTCGTATGAATTTTTTGTTTCTGTGTAGAATTTAATAAAATACGCATCGTCGAAAGCAAAATAAGTTAAATGCAATTTTCTATTTATTTTTTAAAAAATTGACTGTCTAATTGAATTTAATATTATATATAATATACATGATCATAAAAACTGTCCATAATCATTATATTTGGAAAAAATAATTTCACTATGGTCAAATCTAAATTTAGATTACTCGAACGTTACATTAACATTTAGATAGTCAGAATAACACTAAATGGTGTTGATTTAACAATAATGTCAATTTTCAAATTAACTATCTATGGAATATATTGTTTGTATTAGGTATATAAATGTTATTTTAACACTTTTGTAATTTATTATATGCTACAGAAAACTCAATTTAAGATTTGTTTATCCAACTCCTCAATTTAAGTAAAATTAACAAGAAAATTACAAAAACTTAATACAAGTTGATTTAAATAAATTTTACTTTTGAAATGTTTTTAATTTTTGGCTATTTAAAACATGGGTGTTGTTAAAGTATATAAATATTTAATTCAACTCTTCATTTCCATTATTTAAATCACATTAGAATCTTAATTTAATATCCGAAAGTTCAATACCTTAACATATTAAGTAAAATCAACTCCATTATTTCTATGCGTGCACCTATATATTACATAATATGCCTTTATAATAAATGTGTAACACGTGTATAATTATTAATTTATACACATAATTTTACCTATTATTATATTATGACTTATTATTTTGATGTATTTTACTATAATTCATATTCGTATAATAGATTTGTGTATAAAATATAATATATTTATGTGGATGTGTGTGTGTGTGTGTGTGTGTGTGTGTGTGTGTGTGTGTGAGAGTTTGTTGTGTCTACCTAGTACCTACGCCTCTTAAGTTCTTCATAACCAACAGTCGATTAATGTTTACACACGTATTCGATGGGTTAATTTGTTTTCTTTGCTTCGAATCACCTGACCTTTAACTCCCGGTTAACTTAGGTAGTTTTTCTTCTGTGTGTAATGCCTGTTGTGCTGTGTAATAACAATACCGATAATTATAATAAAACGAGAGTAGTAACAAAAAACCAGACACTATTCAACTTTTTATGTTTGTATATTCTATTCAGCTTGTGTTTTAAAGTATTAAAAAAATAACCTTGTTTGATAAATGTTGCCTCCGAGCGATATACAGACGATGAGAAATCTATATTACACAGTGCGTGTTATACCGATATAGCTCTTAGGTTTCTAACTCAAGTTTATAATAATATTACTAATTTGGCATTTTAGACAATTCGAGAAAAACGATGTCTTCTTGCTATTTACCTTATACAAAAATATGTTTATCAACTTCGAAATTAAATCGTTTTTCAATAAATATTCCCCTGTATTTATTTACCAATAATATTGTAATTCATACGAGATCAATTCGTCAATAAGTCATTAAGTAAATACGTCTTTATTGACGTTTCACAGTGGCTGCTGCAGCATTTTCATGGAGTGTTTCCATGAAGTGTATTATTTGTGTAAGCAAAACGTAAATATTATAACAATTAACAACTTACAACGCTCACTGTATAATAAACATTTAACTATAAGAATATTGAAAATTAATTTAAGAGGACGCTACACGGCCATTTATTTTGTTGTCTCCGTCTTACAAGTGCGTAACATAGCAAATTTACGTTGAGGAGATCACGTTTAGCTCAGTTAGTTCAAAAATTTGTGTGAATCGAACTATTTTAAATCTCGATGTTAAGAACATTATCTGTGTCTGTATTTAGGTTTTTTACGAAATTTCAATTTTTTAGCAAGTTATGTGTATATAATTTAATATACCTATGTTAATAAGTCAAACATTACATATGAATTCAACCCTCAACTTCCGAGTTATTGAAAACCTACTGGCCAATACGGTAAAATATTTTAATAGGTCTTTTAAAACACGACAAATTAAGAAAGGTTAAATTTTGATAATCGATTACGTTTAATATTGGTTTTATCTATTAGTTTAGAACATACCTAATTATTATACCATCGAAATGAATGCCTGACAATCTCACATTTATATAAACACACTTTGTGGGATAGGGGGCTGAGTCTCTCCCAAAACTAGTCATAGGCCCTCAAAATATACTGTCATTAATAAACTACCTAGTATTATACTGAATATAATAATAAATAACTATTTAAAAACGTTTCAACATCTAAAAAATTTATAATAAGAATGACTATTAACTATTGTTTTAAACTGTCGGTGATAAAAATATTGCTGTTGCTGAAATCTACTGATATTTCTATTAACAATTTAATGTATCCTATAATCAATAACAACCATTTGAAAACAAACACACACAAATAATTTCATCAAAATCGGTTCAGCCATTTAAAATGCATAAAGGACTTACATACAGACATTCATTTATATATATATATATATATATATTATTTTTTTTTTATTTTATAAGATCTTATTTTCATTATAAAGTAAGCAGTCCAAATGTTAAACCGAAGATGATTATCACGTACTTTTAGAATGAAAATCTATAAACAAACTATACAGATATTTAGCAGGATTATTTTTATTGAATACAGTTTTTAATTGAGGTTTTTTGTTTAATATAGATTCTTTTATCAAATTTTTTTTTTAAAAATTAGATTATTTTTTTATAAAGGTTTTTTGTCAAGATAGATTTTTTATTCAATCAAGATTTTTTCTATTTTACTTACGTTATTTTTTTATTGAATTCTGCTTTTTGTCAAGGTTTTTTATTTATTATAGATTGTTTATTATAGAAATAATTTATTTGTATTAGCTACAGGTGTTTTACTAAGGTTGTTTTATAGATTTTTATTCAATCAAGATTTTAATGGTAAGTTTAGAAAAATATTTAATTATAATAGTGTGTATAACCTTTTTTTTTTTTTTTTTTTCCGGTTTAATCGAGAGCCGGAGAAGGAACTGTTGCTCACATTGCTTCTTCTCCGGCCCTCACATTGCTTCTTCTCCGGCCCATGCTTCTTCTCCGGCCCAACTTCTTCTCCGGCCCAAACTTCTTCTCCGGCCCATCGTGTGTATAACCTAAAAAAAGCCTAGTTGAATAAAAAATCTATAAAAAAAAACCTTAGTAAAACACATGTAGTTAATAAAAATAAACTTTTTTAAATAAAAAATCTAAATTTTATAAAAAAAAACAAAATATTAAATAAAAAACTTAATAGACAACTGTATTTAATAAAAAAATAATCTAAGTACAATAGAAAACATCTTGATTGAATAAAAAATATATCTTAAAAAAAAATTAATTTTTTGTTTTTCGAGGGGAAGAAAGTCGTGCAAATTTTCAAACTAGGCGTGCGAATTCATGCGAATTACTTGCTTAATATCTTTATAGTTTGCTTATAGATTTTCGTTTGAGGGGGGGATGGGGGCTATCGAAACTTACGTGATGATATAAATTTTCTGATCGAATCTTTTCAGACTTAATACGAACTATCACTATACATTTTGCACTTTGATCATACTTTACATTTAGCATTTCTTAAAAAATGAATGTATTAATACCTATATTTTATGCCCATGTTAAATACGAGTAGAATTAGGCATGCGTCACACAACAATAATACTCATTTCGTCTTCAGAATGACAAACGCGTACAAGAAAGTTTTGGAGGTACAAAAAAACCTAACTAATTATTATAGTAATCGTTTGTACAAACTACCTGTTAAGAATGTTGTCGGGAGGGTAAAAAACAAAAACATTTTAACAGTAGCCATCAAAGTAGAAACAGACAACAGACACTTCAGTAATATTTTTAGTCGAATAATTACGCTTAACATTGTATTCGAGTCGTTCTCGTCCGGTGATGAGCACATTTAGACCATTTATATCAGACTGATACTTTTGTCTTTCGAAGCTGACTTTATTGCCACGCCAAATGTTGCTATACACGCCCAGCCCATATTAAAATGTTTCTCGGCCCACCCGTTGCATTGAGCGTGTTGTTCTCCCGACAAAAGCTGCAAACAAAAGCGTTTTTTTTTTGTTTTTTGTAAATGTTTAAAGTTCATTACATTTTGACGGGTCAACGCCGTCTGTAGGTTAAGCCGGGTTCCCACGGCGCGGGGCTCGTGGCTCGGCGCGTGGCTTGGTATTGCGCGGTACAGTTCACGAGCCGTGGGATCGGTGTTGCGCGGCGCGGCTCGTATATGATCGGCGCGGCTCGTGTCTATCCGAAAATTGTCGGTATTTGGTACCCGAGTCAAAGGAAACCATTCGCGCTCGTTGCTCGGCTCGTGGAGTCGGTTCAACGCGTTCCAACGGCTCGTGTGTATTTTCATTTTTATTTTACTTTTTTTCCGAATATTTTATTTATTTATTTTCAAAAAACATGGAGTGGTCAAATGAATTGATCTTGGAATTTCTTGATCTATATGAACAAGAGCCTTGCATCTGGAACCCGAAACACTCGCTACACAAAGTTCGCAATTCCGTGCATGATTCGTGGAAAAATATTTCTCAAAATCTCAGTGTACAATATTCTATCAGTGACCTAAAGAAGAAGAAGGATTCATTGATGGCCACATTCAGGAAACTAAATAACAAAGTTAAAGCTAGTAAAAAAACTGGTTCGGGTTTGGATGACATCTACAAACCTGACTGGTTCGCATATGAATCAATGGCCAAGTTTCTGCATAGCGTGAATCAACCTAATACCACCAAAAGTTCAGAGGTAAATGTATTCATATAAAATAAATAATAATAAATATACTTAATAATAATATATACACATATTTATTGAATAATATTCTTATCATTATATTATATTAATCAACAATAACTAAATATACTAGACTTTCTTACATAAATTATATTAATACAAATTACTCAAATATATTTTACTTTAAAAATTGTTTTGCCACGAAACAGCACCATTCGTCATAAAATAGTCTGTAAATAATTCTCTTACTTCTTTTGCATCGCTGGGTGCCCTACGGGGTATTCTACGAATGGGTAGGAACGAGGCTTCGTTATTGTTGTTCTGACGCCATGACCCTGGAATAATATCACCTTCTTTTTCCGAGTCAAATGTTCCTTGTGGACAATAATTGGAAGACGAAGTCTTACTTTTTCTTAGAAAATTGTGCAACAATGCACACGCCATCGTTATATTTGTCACTTTTTCCGGATTGAGTAAAATTGGACGTCTGAATACTCTAAAAACTGATGACATTATTCCAAAGGCATTCTCTACCACTCTCCGTGCCCTAGATAATCGATAATTAAATACTCTTTTTTCGTTGCCTTTGTCATAAACACCAGAATACGGTTTCATCATATGCTTATTAAGAGCGAATGCGCTATCCACTACGAAAACATATGGTGACATATTGGTCTTGGCAGGAAGCGGTTCATCTTCTGGAAGCATAAGCTGTTCATTTTCAAATTTTTTCCATAAATCTGTGTTTCGATATACACCACTATCACTTATTCTTCCCTGACACCCAACATCGACGAAAATAAAATTATAATTAGCGTCTACTAATGCCATAAGAACGATACTGAACGTCTCTTTGTAATTAAAGTATTCTGTACCACTTTTATTTGGACATTGTATTACTATATGCTTCCCGTCAATTGCACCCAAGCAATGGGGAAAATTCCATTTGTCGTTAAACTCTTCGGAAATTTGGAGCCACTGTTCGGAATTTTGTGGGAGCTGAAAAAATTAATTTTATATTTATAGCCTTAGGTATTGAAAACAACAAAATATCATCTATTGTTCGATTAAAAACTTCTCTTATTTGTCTTTTGAACCTTGGACAATTGGTTTCTAGGTACAATACGATTCTGCCACGTCCTTATCGAACGTACTGAATGACAAAAAAAAATATAGGCAGGCAAGTGGTGGAGTCAGTAAGATTGTCATTGTATACCCCAAAAAAGGTCATAGCATAAGCATATTATGTAATGTAAATTGCGGTCTGGGTATACATACGTAAAATATACGTATTTTATTGTTTTCTATGGTGATAAACAGTGTTGGGAATAGATAACTAAAAAAGGTGGGTAAGTGGATGTCGCTCTGCTGTACTGTAGGTTACAAGTGGGTCATGGTATAATGGATGGTATTAAATTTGAATTCAATGATATAATATTATTGTATAAGAAAAACGATTCTGAGTGGAGACGGTATCACGGTCAATCTAGGTATAAGACATATATACTTATCGATGGTATTAAAAAAAAAATTGACTTAAAATAGATACCTATAATAAATTCCAAATTAATCATATCATATATCCCCGAATAATATTTTTAAATTACAACGAAAAACCAAGATCGTTAATATTTATTTTAATATGTAATTTCGTCCAAATTTGAATTTAAAATGTCTATAAAAAATAACTGTGTTCATATATTTTTTAGATTTTTTGGTTACAGTATGAACTATTTACGAGAACCTTTGTATTGAATTTGCAATCCTTAGCTATAAAAAACTGAACATTTTATAATTTATTAATTACAATGATTGATAATTTTCGAGATTTTGATAAATTTTGTCAAAATTTGATCTATAATGCTTATAAAAAAAAACTGTGCCTATGTATTTTTAATATTTTTCAACTTATATTGTAACAATATATCAGGAGCCTTGTATTACATTTTTTTATTGATAAAGGTAGACAAACTTATGAGTAATCTTGTATTATATTTTCAAATCTTAGATTTAAAAAGAAAAATTTTTACGAATTCTTAACTCAAAATAATTCGCTAATTTTCGTGATTTTTCCATATTTTTACAATTTTTGAACTTTAAATGCTTATAAAAAAAAATTGTGACTAAGGATTTTTAATATTTTTCATCTGCCTTTGAAACAATATATTAGGATCCTTCTATTAAATTTTCAAGCTTTCACAACCAACAAATAAAATGTTATTGATATTTTTAGAAAAAAAACTAAAAAAAAATGGAAAATGAAAATGTCCCTAAACAGTTCAAAATAAATCAAAATATTTTGAAAACGTTATCGTGTATAGAAAATGCAAATATTAACAACCAGTGAAAATTTCATGTATATACGTTCATTTGTTTTAGAGTTACACCAATAACCAAAATCGATTTTTGGAAAACCAATTTTGCGTAAAAATTCCCGTTTTTCCTTAATTTTTATGTTGTTTTTCCCGGCGCTTGTGAAAACTACTGGGAAATGTTTACTTTTGACCCCCCAAAGTACCAACTAGATTCACTTTCCTATCAGAAAAGGTACTATTGAAGAAAATCGAAGCACTTTTACTGTCCTAAAACGTGATGACAGACACAAAAAAAAATATAAAAATATAAAAAAAAATACACATCATTGTAAAACTAATACATTCATCGCTCCGCTCAGAATCTAAAACTATCTAGATAAGGTAAGATAATTTTACCAAAATTATATCTAGATAAAAATGTAGATAAATCCATTTTTTTTCAAAATATTTCATATATTCTGTGTTATTTTCTATTTACTCCAACTAATTATTGATGATTAAAAACAATTATTGCGTAGGTACCTACCATAAATCTAAGAATATTTTGGAATTTAGAAAATAAGAATTATCGTTATATAGTTATATACGTATACCAATATCACTATTAAAAAGTATATAGTTAAGGAATCAACTCTTTAATTTATCTTTTTTACACACCTAAAATATTCCATACATCTCCATAGAAATTAATGAAAAAAAAAAATTTTAACTTTTTTTTAATTATTTATAAGCATAAAAATTTTTTTAATTTTTAAATTGTAATTTCAACTTTTTACAAAAAAAAATGTTTCGCTTGATCATAAGACTTGAAAATTGAGACAAGATTCCAAATAAATTGTTCTTATAGCTGTAAAAGTTATTAAAAATAGATTTTACAATTTTTTATTATAAGCATTTGAAATTTAAATTGATCATATAATTATGATAATTCATTATTAGGCAATACAAAATGAAACAATAAACAATGAAAGCGAGAGCAGTGGTACTTTCATCGACGAGGAAGAATGTACTGAAGTTGAAACCGACAAACAACCAAATACACCAAATGAAAATTTTAAAACTCCTACGGTACATTTTCCCCATGATATTTCTAAAAAAAGAAAATTTGAAAAAATCAAAGATATGGAAAAACGATTGGACGAAGCTTATAATCATTTGAAAAAGGCATCAGAGAAACCCAAAAAAGACAAATGTTCACTGTTTTGTGAGTTACTCGAGAAAAAGTTTAGAGACCTGGATGAGTATACTCAAGAATTTGCTATGCTAGAAATAGATAAGTTTATTTATGGACTTAAGCAACAGAAATATGCATTTCAATTTAACAACACCCAATTCATAGCACCAAGTAGTACCATTTACAACCCGCAATCATCTGCATTCATGACATCAACTTTTCATCCTCAATCACCAAAAACACATACATATACGACACCGACACCATCACTACTTTCTCAGCAATCAAATTTATACACATCACCTTGCACGAGTTCTCCATCATTATCTGAAGATACGAGTATGTCACCTAACCTAGCAGATTTTCAACAAGCTCATAATTATACACCTCACATGTCACCTGCAAGTTCATCAAACTCACAATCATACACAATCCTCCAAAGTCAAACCAACGAAAATCAAGAGGAATTAGATTTAAATACGTTTGGCGTATAAATTAATATGATAGTATTTATTGTTATTGTAATATTTAAAAACCAGTTTATTGTTCTAGCTTAGTTTTTTAACGAGAAGTTAATTTGTTTTCCACTAAAAAGTTTTTATTTTAAAAAAGTTTTTCATAGTATTATTTTTGTTTATGAGGAATTGACCTGTTATTTTTATTTTCTGTTTTATTTTTCAAATATTAAGTAACTATATTGTCATGGTATAATCATTTTTTACTAAAAAGTCATTTATATATTTCTAGTTAATGATCCATTTTAATTCATTTTAATTTAATAAAATTTGTTTTAATCATTTATGATTACATACCTTTATTTCATCTTTCAATTCTAGGATCAAAGCCTTGCACACATCAGCTACACATCTTGAAACAGTTTGTGGTGAAAACTTAAACAGGTATGACAAACTTTTGAAACTGTCACCGCTAGCCAAAAAACGAAGTGTCACAGCTAATCTTTCTTTGATTGGGATACATTCTCGCATGTTTGTGTCGTTCTTAGAAATGTATGGGCCTATTTTCGTTAAAATATGCTCGAAGTCTACGGAACTCATCCTACAAAAGTTTTCAAATTTTCTTGACGGATCTACATTTAAATCGCACAGCATATTTGTTGCATTGTACCTAAAA